TTTTTCTTTTATTGATTCCCTATACGCTTCCGAAATTTAGTCATTTAAATTCGGGACGTCCTGTATATATGTTTGTATGTATACTTATAAATATATATATATGTAGTATATAGGTGCTTTCCATTTGATGACACAAGTCGACACAAGTGTCGTTCTATCTTTGTCACACTCTGAATGTCAAGAAAGATAGAACGACGCTTGTATCGACTTGTGTCATCAAATGGAAAGCACCTACACACACGCGCACGCGCACGCATACACATATATGATTTAAGGTGTGTTCGGGGAGACGCTATTAGCGCTATTTGTATCATTCCTTGTTTTACATCTAATAAACAACGAAGAATGAGAGAAGTAACACTATAATAGCGTTTTCTCGAACGCACCAATAATATATATATATATATTGCTGAACAATAACACTATTCATTGGGCCGCTTCCAATTTCGCTTATATAGTGTTTTTTGTTTTATATTTGAAATGTAAAATTACACGAAGAAAAAGGAACTATATGTTGAGGAAATCATTCAAAGTTATAGTGAATCGTTATTTTTCAGTAGCAATTGGAAAATCTGTAAATTCTCATATAAACCATGAACCAATTTTGGTCTTTTTTCATCCTTCTTATCGTTTCTCTTAAGAGAAAATTGTTATTATTTGCTAAAAATCAAGAGTGAAGATGAGAGATTTTTAATAAAACATCTGTTTTACTTATCCATTATTTGGTATAAAATTTATATGAGAATACATTACATTCAATAAAAAATAATATTTTTCATTTATAAACAGTAGTTTGTAAATGAAAAGAACTTAAAGTTAGCTAATTATTTTATCCAAAATTCTTACATTCAAGTATGATTCAAGCATTGTACACAAATACCTTAATATTTTTATTGATTTTATTATGATGCCTTTTATTCATGCCTTCTCATTCTTTCTCGTGCCTTTTTTTCATTCCTTCTTTGATTTCTTGTAACTTTATGTGTTAATTACATTTATAACGCCGTATGTAAAGTTCTCTAAAAGGTTGCAACATTTTTTTCTCGAATTTCGAAACTCAGTCTTGCTCATAGAACGATTGAATTTAAATAGTTAGATCTATAAGTAAGAAACCATCGCTCGGTGAACATGCTAATTCCGAAACCCAATCAGAAAAGTGTTGCAATCTTTTAATTGATAAGTATATGTATGTATGTGTGTACACACACACACACACACAAACACGCACTTATACAAAGTAAAGATATTTTCAAACATTAATTCTATTCTCTTCTATTTTTCTTCAACACCTTCTCTATTGTATAATGTGCCTAAGCGAGCGAATTTTAATTAATAATTAAATAATTCAACTAGTTAATCCTTCTCATTTCAAAAACTATTGTAGCTTCGACATTTTAGTATTAGGATTTTTGTTTTGAAATAATTTTAGGAATCAGCTATCAGTGTCACATGCAAAATCTGAGGTAGCGCTTATATTAGCCGTAATTTGTAAGAATTGATTAATCACAGTCAAATATTTCCCTCTCATTCGGCGATAAGAAGGAAATACTCGAAGATGATTGATCAATTTTTACAAATTACGGCATATGACATACGGTTACAGCCAATATAAACACTCCCTAAACATCCGAGATAAATATATATTATGTACCATATATTTAACATTCCTATATTGTTAACGCAGTCTCTTTGTGGGAATGGGGGGAGAGTGTGTGAAAACAGAGAGATAGAGAATAATCGGACTTCTCCCTTCTATATATGCGGATAAGTTTGGTTAGGAATACGCGCATGCGAAGGTTTCAAGTGCACTATGTGAGAGGTAGATAAATATTGTCTGCACTGATGTTTTCGCCAATTCTTAGTGGAGTTAGCAATATGGAAGTATTACACATATGTGTACATATATATATATATATGTGCCTCCGTTCAACGAGAGAATGATCCTTGGATCGGACGAAAACTCGTCCGTTTTGCGCAGATCTTCACAGTTGTACAATGTTACACTCTTCCTATGCGCACAGCGCAAATCGAAGTCATTCTCTCGTTGAACAGAGCTATGTGTATATAGTTTTTTCTGTTTGGCTATCAAGATTATGGATATGAAAGTGTTGAAGAAGAATAGAAGAGAATAGAATTAATATAAATAATAGGGAGCATACAGCCACAATAATAGACGTTAAAATGAAAATCATATATTTAATATTATTATATAAAAACATTTAATATTATTATGTAAAAACGTAGATGTTTCGATCAAGATTTGACCATCATCAGTACATCAAGATGACAAATAAAGAATTACAAAAAAATTAATTAATTACGCAAAAATCGCTAGTCAAAAAAACACAATATCAAAATGATGAATAGAAGAAATACATAAAATTAAAAACAATGATCGCAAGTCAATAAGATAGTAAAAGAATTTTCCAATCGCTTGTGGTATAAGTTAATCTAGTAAGATAAAGTCCAGAGAATGAAATTAACCAAAAAAAAAAAATTTTTTTTTAACGTTTCTAGCGACTAATCTGTTATGTTTATAATTCCTTTTTAAAGGAAGTAAAGAATGATTCGTGTGAGAATAGAATTTCCAGTTTCTATTTAAAAATTAAAAAAAAAGAAAACGCTTTTTAATAATTTAAATTTTAGACAATATATTAATTATTCATGAAAGTCAATCTAAATTCACATTAATACTCGCTTATCGTATTTTTTGATACAAGTCCTCGCAGATGTAACTCGGATAAATAACACAATTTAAAAAACAAGAACAATTTGAACAAATGGTAAGAATCACTGCTGACAAATTTTTTGGAAGATCCTAGCTCATGACAGTACTTATATAATATGAAAGAAAAGGAGAGAGAATGATAGTAGAGAAGATAGTTCTATATGTGGGGTTTTTTTCAATGATTGATAGGTAGATTTCAGGAAAGCGCTCTATGTCACTCTGTTTGTTCAAATCATTTTTTTGTCGTTTAATATGTACCATCTCGGAGATCATCCTTTTATAATAAGATTGTTCTGAATCGAGAAAGCTAACATTTTTCCAATCAATCATATGATAATCAAGTGACGAGAGATAACAGACAAAGAATTTTTTTTAAATCGTTTACGTGTTCTTTTAAACGCATCTTTAATTTCCTTTTTGTCTACATAAGAGTAATTACATAAATATGTCCTACATAAGAGTAATTGCAATCCATCAATGTGATTGCAATTACTCTTATGTAGGACATACTTATGTAATTACTCTTATGTAACCTGGCGCTCAACTTTATCAAAAATAAAAATTAATACTGCAGGCCATTTGTACTTCATTTGTATTTGTTTGTATCGATCATTATTTCGTTTGTACCTCAAACAGTTAAACAAAAAGTGAAAAATAAAAAATGGCCAGCGTGCAACTTTAAGATTTTTTAATTAATACCCCTATATAGCAAATTTAGCCAATTTTAAAGATATCGAAATGGGACCAACGGCATTCGAAAGAGAATCGTTTGTACCCGTTTGTACTTCTCTTATTTTTTACTTTCGTTTGTACCTCAAAGGGTTCGGAGATACTATATAGGGGTTGTGCAAAAACGCGCTGTATCTCCGAACCCTTTGAGGTACAAACGAAAGTAAGAGAGGTATAAACGGGTACAAACGATTCTCTTTCGAATGGCATAAATGAAATTAAAAAATCTTAAAGTTGCGCGCTGGCCATTTTTTATTTTTCACTTTTTCTTTAACTGTTTGAGGTACAAATAATGATCGGTACAAACAAATACAAACGGCCTGCAGTATTAATTTTTATTTTTGATAAAGTTGAGCGCCAGGTTCATATCGGTATTGCAATTATGACAATTAATTTTATAAACAACATTTGAGTGTTCTTCTTTTTTTATTTTGCCTGTTTTAATGAATTTATTCATACAATTTATTCATTGGTTTATAAGCTATGTTGAAGTCGAATTTTTTTGTAGATTAAAATTTTTCAGAGATTCACAATCCGCTGACT